ATTGTCTACAAAACATAATATTTTAAAAATCGCTCTATATTGCCTAATTTTTTGGGATATTTAAAAAATGGTAAAAAAAGGTAGATAATTGTTTTTTGTTTCTTTAATGTATCTCGAAAAGTAATAGAAAAACAACATCTTTGTATATAAATATTTTTTGAGGAAATAAAATTTTCTACAAAACATAGCATTTGTAAAATCGCTCTATCTGGCTTAGTTTTTGAGATATTTAAAAAAATGTAAAAAAAGGTAGAAATTTGTTAATTTTTTTTATTATAACTCGAAAAGTAAGGAAAATACAATATCTTTGTATAAAACCTTTTTTGTAGTAAATGAAATTGTCTAAAAAACATAAAATTATTAAAATAGCATTATCTTCCTTAGTTTTTAAATAATTTAAAAAATGTAAAAAATGGTGGGAAATTGTGTTTGTTTTTTAAAAATATCTTGAAAAGTTAGAGAGATACAAAATCTTTGTATTAAAATTTTTTTGTAGGAAATAAAATTGTCTAAATGACAATATTTGTAAAATCGCAATATCTTGATTTCTTTTTGAGATATTTTAAAAAATGTAAAAAAAGGTAGGAATTTTTTTTTTTTTTATACATTGAAAAATCAGACAGATACAATATCTTTGTGTAGAAATTTTTTTGTAGGAAATAAAATTGTCTACAAAACATAATATTTTAAAAATCGCTCTATATTGCCTAATTTTTGAGATATTAAAAAGAAGGTAATAAAAGGTAGGAATTTGTTAATTTTTTTTAATATATCTCAAAAAGTAAGGGAAATACAATATCTTTGTATATAACATTTTTTGTAGGAAATAAAATTGTCTACAAACATAATTTTTGTAAAATCGCTCTATCTTGCTTAGTTTTTGAGATATTTGAAAAAATGTAAAAAAAAGTGGGAAAATTAGTGTTTAATTTTTTTAATATATCTCGAAAAGTAAGGGAGATACAATCTCTTCGTATATAACCTTATTTGTAAAAAAAAAATTGTCTACAAAACAGAATATTTGTAAAATCGCTCTATCTTGCTTAGTTTTTGAGATATTTTAAAAAATGTAAAAGAACGTGGGAATTTGTTTTTATTTTTTTAATATATCACGAAAAGGAAGGGAAATACAATACCTTTGTATATTACCTTTTCTGTAGGAAATAAAATTGTCTACAGAACATAATACTTGTTTAATCGCTCTATATTGCTTGGTTTTAAAATATTTTCAAAAAATTTAAAAAAAGGTGAGAATTTTTGTTTAATTTTTTTAATATATCTCGAAAAGTAAGGGAAATACAATATCTTTGTATAGAATTTTTTTTGTAAGAAAATAAAATTGTTTACAAAACATATTATTTGTAAAATCGCACTATCTTGCATAGTTTTTGAGATATTTGAATAATGTAAAAAAAGTGTGTATTTGTTGTATTTTTTTAAATATATCTCGAAAAGTAATAGAAATACAGTAGCTTTGTATATAACCTTATTTGTATAAAATAAAATTTTCTACAAAACACAATATTTGTAAAATCGTTTAATCTTGCTAAGTTTTTGAGATATTTCGAAAAATGTAAAAAAAGGTGAGAATTTGTTTTTTACTTTTTTAATATATCTCGAAAAGTAA